GTTTTAATTATCATTGTAATTATATAAATGTCCATTACATACATATCCATGAAATATGACTGTGAATAAAGTTCTTTCTATAAAAACCTAAGCCAAATGCTTGGAAAGATTCAATAGAGGTTTGCAAAGGACAACTATCACATAAACAACCAGGGAAAAGTCATAACAACTCAGGAAGAGTCTGCCCTAAGACTGCTTGATGAGAGGGTAAGTTCTCGTTTTGATTTGATTTAGAAATCAAACTAGAAACTGTAGACAATGCATTACGAGTGATTTATGCAAGGAAAACTACGTCAGGAGTCTGCAGGCCAAAGCCAGCACATATGCAAGTTTTTGTAAATAATGTTTTCTTGGAAGACAATCATGCCCATCAATTTAGATATTGTATATGGCTGCTTTTCCACTACAAGGGCAGAGGTTAGTAGTTGCAGCAGAAACGATATGGCCTACAAAACCAAAAATATTTACTATCTGGCCCTTTAAAGAAAAAGCTTCCTGACCTTTGTCTTACGTGAAACGATTAGTGAATGAACTAAGTTTATGTTTTAAGGTAAAATAAAGCAATTAAGGGAGGCATGGATCATTTTTTAATGACCCTCCACTTTAACTGAAGTTTTAAATTAAACATCTATCAGCTAAGAAGGATTCTTACACATAGTAAAATTCTATCCTTCTAGAATGCTCATTTAATAGATATGTCAATTTTCCTATATGAAAATTAGCATCGCATCAGGAAAAATGTACAGCAGGTAATATTTATATATTAGTTCTGAACTTGTTGATAGATGGATGTTTCAGAAGTAATGCAGGAGGGGGCAGCTTCACAACATAATACCTGACACTGCTCTAATCAGACCAAGTGTTAGTATCTTCTCACTAGCTACCAGGTTATTTTTACCTTTATATTTCCACTTTCCCTCCTGCTAGCCTCATACCATTTTTCTGGATGATGCTAATTGGACCTAACCTTCCCCACTACACTTTCCCATACCATTATGTATGAATTAATTAATTAATGGAAAAGTGCATATAAGAACACAAAGTCTTCATTCACCAAATATTTACTGAGTGCCTATTATGTGCCAGGTGTTTTCTAGATACTTGGGTTATAAAAGTGAACACTGGCACTTAAATTCTAATACAGGAGATAAGAATAACTAAGAGAAGAAATAAAATACCCAGAGTATTCACTGCATGTGAGTCCCAAGGGGATGGATGGATGGATGGATGGATGGATGGATGAATGAATGAATACAATACCCAGAGTATTAAGGGTTGGGAAGGGAGGTGGGATGGATGGCTATTAAATTGAGTAGTCAGGGAAGTTCTTTCTAAGGGCACATCTCTGAGGTAAGACACAAATTAAATGAGAGAGGCCAGCCACAAAATTCTGGGAGGAAAGAATGCTCGGCAGAAGACACAGCTAGTTCACTGACCCAAAGACAGGTTTGAGGCGGTATAGCTAGAGCACTGTCAGCACTGGGAGAGGGATGCAAAGGGAGGATAAAGGTAGGCAGGTAGGGGTCAGATTACATAGGGCCTTATAGTCATGATAAAGGATTAGTGTTTCATTCTAAGTCCAATGAGAAGCCACTGGGTCATTTTAAACAGGAAGCGACATGACCTGATTTACATTTCTAAATAACTACTGAGCTATTTGGTGAATACACTGTAAGAGCACCAGAACAGGAAATAGGTGTTTTTTTGTAGTGTTCCAGGCAGAAGATGACATTGACTTTGACAAGGTCCCAGTCTCCAGGATTTAGTAATGATAATGGGAGAAACATGGAAAGATTTAGGATATCTTTTGGAGGTAGAGCTATCAGGACTTGGTGACGGATTAAATCGACACTATATGAAAACAGCACATCACATGAACCTTTTTCGGTACTCCATAGACGACACATAGACAGTCAAGAACTTCTGGTCTACGTAAAAAGCTGGTTTCATTCCTTGGGTGAAGGCATAGAAAAAAAAAAAAAGCTGGTTTCAGGTGGGGAGAGTGTGGTGGTGACTGCAGTGGGGCTATGGTAAGAGATACAGAATGAATCTTTTGTTTTTCTTACAAATCTGGGAGTGTAATCCACAGAAAGCTTTACATGGATTTGCCTTAGGTACAGGAGTACAGGGGAAGTAGATGTCTCTAAGGCTTAGTGATGTTCTTAACCATCAAGGTCAGAACGGAAACTTCTGTCCTTCCCAATGGCAAAAAGAGGCTGAAGGGCCCCTGTGCCCAGTCCTGCTACAGAGGAAGAAAATGCATTCCTGGCATACCACATTAGGATCCAGTCACATTTCCCCAAAGAAATACAATGTACATAGGGCTTAGAGCCTATATCATTAGGTGGTAGTACACTTCAGGTAAAAAGAATTAACAGGATGGTGTAGAAGCCTCCAGACTCCTATCAACATGGCTTCTGTGGAACAGAGAGTTCTGAGTTATAAACAGGTTTAAAAAACTTTTAAACTACGATCTGTGTTTCTATTTTTTTAATTTCCTCCAAAGCCTATTTCATTCCATTCCATTTTACAAAGTAATAAATATATTGAAAGGCTATATAATCAGGGTAACAGTAAAAATATATCCTAAGTTTCAAATCTGCTAGTTTCTAAAGTCAAGAGGCTCAACATAAAAATACATAAGGTTCATTAGTGAGAAGATTTTCTTATTTTTCATAAAATGCAAACCATGCACAAATTTCATTCAGAGGCTAATGACAAACTCCACAGATCAGAGTCAAGACCTGTAACTAAGTCTGAGAGTGAGCACACAATGGGACTTTCCTGAAAGCCAATCACCCTGGAGCAGCTTCATTCTGTAGAAGAGTTCCCATGAGCCTTAGGTGGCAAACCAGAAAGTAACATCTCTTGCACTATCACCACCATCTCCAGGATCATAAAAGAGGTACATTTTTCACTTACCTACTGTCACTCACTCTTTCTTTAGAGATGAACAAACAACATGGCAGATAAGTCATGAGAAAATCAAAGAAAAACGAACTTCCAAGACAATGGTCATTAATACTGATTGCAGAACCCCTCAAGGAAGAAGAGTCCTATCACCAATCTGTCTGTAGATTCAGTAAGGAAGATTACAAATTAATAAGAAATCAAAGTCTTTTTGGTACTCCTGGAGAAAGGATAACAGAACTACAGCTTCTTTTAGAGGAGGCAAAAGAGAATTCAGCACCTCAACTGATCATGTGCAACTGGAAAGCTGAAGGTGGCTTCGGAAACCCTGAGGTTCTTGAGGAAAATGTAAATGATGATCCACTACTTCAGTGGGTAAATACGTTTCAAACAGGAAATGCTATACTCAGTAATGAAGGAAAAAATCAAATATGG